TCTTAGAAGTTAAGGTAGCTAAGGCACACTCTCACAGCGGGCGTTATGACTCTCTCCTTTATGATACTATTAAAAAAAAATTATAATATAAAAATAATATTAAATTATAAATTAATAATAATAATAAGAAATAAATAAAAAATAATAATAATAATAATAAATAATATAAAAGAATAAATAATAATAAAAAATATACATTATAATATATATAATAAAATAATGATATACACATATATGTTAATATAATTATAAATTCTATATTATATAAAATAATTAAGTGTCAATAAAATTATTATTTAGGAATACTTCCTTAATCCTTATGCGCTTTAAAAGTTCCTAGATGTTGAGGTTATTGTGACACACTATGGAAGTGGTCTTAATGATATGAAGTTCTACATTGAAGATGTACATATATTTTATGTCTGAAGATAATTAGCACTGAAATCTTCCACAAATTGGAAGGAGAACTAATCCAATTAGGCTTTATTTTGCGTTAATTTCTAAATTAATATAAATATAATAATATAATATCTGCTTGAGGCATTTCTTTATAGTGTTCTAATTTCTTATCCCTCCCTCAAAGTAATTTGTAAGTATTTCCCATATCTTTTTCAATCCCTGTGCGATCTTGTTTTGATTTCGCCTGATCTTTGAGATTCCGGGGATTACACTGGTGACTTTCACCGCCACAAGTGGGCCTCTTCTGGCCTAGACAGTGTAACATAACATAGATCCATCACGTCTTCACCCAACACACGCAGCTCATTAACAACGCCGCTGACAACTTGAGAGGGGTGCAGCTGCCCGAGTTCAGGGCTTCCCCCCCTTCGTAACTCCCGCCCGTGGGCCTTGTAACTCCCCTCGACTTTTTGTCAGCCGTGGGGAGCGTGGGAAATTGTCCATGGTGGTGGGATTTTTCGGGGCGGGAAATATTGGCGGGCTCAGCAAAAAACCAAAATAAAAATAAAAATAAAGAGGCCCCCACCGGGTGACATAAATACAGCTTTTTCGCGCCCAGCATCGCGTTGGGCCTGCATCATTGTGACGTCAGTGGGTCGACCTATTTTCCAAGCCGCCACAGCAGCTTTCCTGGAAAGCCAAAGGGAATATATCTCAGAAGAGAACGGAAGTCCAGAAATAGGCAACATAGCACATAAATTATAGATCGTATCGAGTATCAATTAGTCCGGGGATAAGGAATTTTGTTCGGTGGAGGAGAGATATTTTTATTACCCTCTCAGGGACCTGCACTTGTTTGGTTCGCTTCGTTTCCTTTTGTCCCAAAACGATTCGGTTCGCTTCGGTTTTGGGTGCCCCAAAAGAATCCTCGAGTGATGCACTTTCCCCCCCGAAAAACTAAAGTTGTGGGAACGGATTTCCCCAAGGCAAACTGTCACTTCGAAGGGTTGTCTTTCGCTGATAAGGAGCCGGGATGAAATCAACTGAAGCCCTTCAATTGCCTTGTCGTTTCTCAGCTATTTATGTCCGGAGTGAAATATCAAAATTACATTTGTAACAGACGCTTTAGTCGGTGATCCTGGGTTAATGGTATGCACTCACATGCATCCCGGCCCGAAGTCATCTGAAATTCAAAAACAGACACACTTAAGGGGCGGTCGCACACGCGCACTTCTTAGGCACAGTGGGATGAGTATTATATTTCAATAGTAAAAATATATAATTATAATCATATTAGCAATTTTTGTTTAAAAATTAATTTTAAAATATGTTTTATAATATACGTGTATTTAAATATATATATATTATTACTTCAAGTCAAGTAAATGCAGACTTTTAAATTGAATCTTAAGCTCAAAACTGCCGCATAGTTGTTTTCTTAATTTATTTTCTGCAAAGCAAAGTAACAAAATTGTAATACTTATTTATATAAATTTCTTAAGCTTAAATCTGTTGTATGGTTATATTCTTAATTTAATTCCTGCAAAGCATAGAAACAAAATTGTAATATATACTTATATAAATATATTTTATTAGAGCAATAAGAAATATTATTTGCAACTGCATACAAACAAAAGGAAGTTATAAATATCTGGAATTTCACTATAAAATATACATTTTCTTTTACTTTCTTTAACAAAATTGTTCGTTAGCAAAAGTAAGTGCAATTTTTATTTCAAAAGAAACTGAAGCTGAAACCTTCTGCACATCTCTTTCTTAAATAAATTTCTTTAAAACAAAGTGCAAAAAATGTAGTGCTTATTAATATGTTTTTATATTATTAGAAGGGTAACAAAATATTGATTCAGACTAAATAAAGGTATTTAGAACAAAACATTTGAATTTGATTAATTTATTTAAACTAAGATATACATATTCGTATACACATAATGCTTTTTATAAGTTCTATAAATAATTCAAAATAATTTAAATTTTGTATATTTATTATTAATATTAATTCATTAATAATAAAATAAAATTAATACATGTTAAATCAAGCTTATGTACTGCAGCTTTTCTAGTATTTATCACCTTTCCTTTTTTACGATTTGCATCCCACTGTGCGCTTATCAATGCAACGGTTAATTCCTGCATCCTAGCGTTCGGAACTAATTCCATGGACAATGGCCTGAAACATCCATAAAGTTGCTCATTAAAATATATATATATCAATTATGCTGCACATCGCTATCGTAAAAAAAAGGAGTGAGTACAGGTAACGGGCTAAAAGGGGTTTCCGGCCATGATTTACATTATAAAAGGCACATTATATTTTTGGGAGCGCCCTCGTCTATATCGCTCCAAATATATATGTATATATATTTACCAAGTTATTCCCAAGCGTCCAAAAATAGACACAAATTGTAACGCACTTGAAGTGCACTTTGAAACATCTTGAAGTCCAAATAAAACAGCAGAAAGATGATGTGTGTTGTGTGTGTGTGATGTGTGTGTGTTGTGTGTGTGTTGTGTGTGTGTGCAGGGCACGTCAGACATGTGATGCTGCGAGTGGAAGCGAGAGGCTGTCGAGGCAGAGAGAGAGAGAGTCGCATTGCACACACAACATGTGAATGCGAGTTCAAGTGCATGCCGTGACACACAGCACACACACACAGCACACACGCACAGCACACACACACACACAGCACACACACACACACCGGGACTCTGTGTCTGCTGCAAAGTGTTTTTTCCCAGGCGCTATTTATAATACTATGTATTCCATTGCCGATCCCATCTAGCGGCACTATGATTATGACGCTCTGCACGATGATGCCTCTGGCAATGATCTGTTTTGTGGGGCTAACGAATAGCCAAATACCCTGGAAAAAAAAATATCCTAAAAATATATAAACATACAATAATAAAACATGAAAAAAAATAACATATTATAAACATATAGCAAATGTAATTGATTTTAAAGACTGAGATTTTTGGGAAGTGTTCGGGTGTTCGGAAAATATTAGAAATGGTTTTGTGGGGTTAACGTCTAGCTAAATACCCTGGAAAAAATATCCTTAAAATATAAAAATATACAATAATAAAACTAGTAAAAAAATATAACATATTATATACATATAGCAAATGTAATTGATATTTATATACTTAGATTTTTGGGAAGTGTTCGGGTGTTCGGGAAATATTAAAAAATAGTTTTAAGATCGTTAAATAAGGTAAGACCACTTTAAAGGTGTCATAATGCTTTATACTGTTCCAAATTTTCAAAGTGATTTAAAAAGCAAAAATGCCACAGGTGATATGACAATAAGCTTTTTGATATAAGGCATAATGACACTCGACTTTCAGACACTGAGTATTATAACATTTCTTATTATGGAATAAAATGCAATAATATATTTAAGATATTAAAACCAGTGAATTTGTTTTCTGTTTTTGTGTAATAACCTTTTTTGACTGCTTTCAAGAAGACTTAAAAACCCTGTATACAAAATTAGCAATAAATATATAATATATATAATTATATAATGTAATGATATAATAATAATATATATAATATAATGATATAATAATAATATTTATAATAAATATATAATTTTGGAAAAATTATTGAGAGTTTCGAAGAATAAAAATATAAGTGGTTATGAAAATTAGCTTATAGAACAAGGTTTGTGTATAATTATACTATGCAACTATGTAATTATAATATTTATATATTTTTTATGCTCTTATTTAAATTATTTATATTTTTTATTTATATGGTTTATATTGTTTATATATTTTATATTTTTATATTGTTTATTTTGTTTATATTATTTATATTATTTATATTATTTATATTATTTATATTATTTATATTATTTATATTATTTATATTATTTTTGTTGTTTTATTTATGAATTTATTTGTTATCTATACAGCATACCCCTGATACCCTGTCATAACAAAATCAGGCGCCAAAACATGCGGTTTCTCGCAACGGACTGCGCCAGAAAATTCGGCTTGAGATTTGGAAATGGATAGGGAAAATGAAAAGGAAAAGGACCCGCAGATGGGAATGGGAGTGTAGATGTATGAAGATGGGAATTCAAATGGGAATGAGGATGGCCACATGCGCCGATGGATGCTGCATGTTGCATGTTGCAGTCGGTGCAGCGAAAGTGTTGCAGCTGTGTGAGAGAGTGCCGTCTATTTTTGGGGGAGAATGTGCATTGCGGCGCTGGTGCTGCCACATGTGCTGTTTGTGCTGCTAAAAGGCATTGTAATGAGAGCAGAAAATAGAATCGACTCCACTTGAGCAATGTCTCATAAAGCTGCAGTTGGACGTCGGATCTGGAGTCGGAGTCGCAGTCGGAGACGGAGTCGGAGCAGCGGCAACACATGGGCCCACGAGTTATGTTTTATTTTTATCCACTCTGGATTTTTGGGCTCTCCAAACAAAAACCTTGCTCGGCTCTCCCAACTCCTATAAGATCCGGAGCGGGCGGACGTCTCGGGACAGTCTTCGTCAGCACCTCGACGCGGTCGGATCGCAGGGAATATATCGAAATATATATCTATATAAATAAATAGCAGCCACCTCGATGGGCGTCATCTACAAGATACTCAAGCAGCAACGCCAGCAGCACCATCGTGGCCATCATCTCACCATGGATCTTAGCCTGAGTTCGGCCACAAGGTGCAAGGTGCAGGCGGCCATCAAGCAGCGCCAGCAGCATCGACTGGAGCAGCACCAGGAGCTGGAAAAGGAGCACAGGCAGGACCAGGAGCAGCAGCATGAGCGGGAGCAGGAGCAGAGGCAGGAGCCGGCTGGGCGCGAAGATTGCATGGAAATCGATCACGAGCAGGACAAGGACGATCTAGCCGAGCAGCAACTCCAGCAGTTGTGCCGCTTTCTGGCCGACAATGCGGCACGCAAAAAGGTATAAAATCATAAATAAATAAATAAAATCTTACTTGATTAAAAAACTAATCAAAATTGATAACCCCAACCAGCGTCAGAGATTCAAGCTGCAATATCAGGATCACAATCGGGATCTTGATCAGCAGCGGCAGCAGGAGAAGGAGCAAGCAATGGAGATGGAGCTGGAACCCTACTCACCGCCACCACATGACATGGCCATGGAGTTCATAGAGCAGCTTCATCAATCCTCGCCAGCAACTGCCGTCAGCAGCAGTGGTCCTGCGACAGCTCCACGTGATAGCATCCTTCTAAAGATACGTCATCAGATTTCGAGAGAAAACGCCAGAGGCAACGTCAGCTGGCGGAATTGGTTCAGCAACGTTTGGTGGTCTGGCGACCCTGGTAGGGGATTCCCCTTAAAAGGATATAGAAAGAGAGATAGAGAGAGAGAGAGAGAGAGATCCGGGAACTGAGACTAGTCTAAGTGTTAGCTCTAAGGACGATTTCGGTATTATTCCTGCTGCTGTGTGTGATCATCGCGCTGCTCTTCCATTTTCCCTAACCAATTTTTTTTTTATTGTATGTTTATAATAATTTAGCAATAAAGTTTTATTTTTGAAAAAATGAAATACTCTTGAAATGCACTTGAAAGTCCGCAGCTGTATTTTCTCAAGCTTTAATTTATTAAACCAATTGAAATTGTTTATGTCAAATATTTGTAGAATGAAAAACCGTAGGGTCTTTTAAATTTGTTTCTTTGAATACTTAATTTCCTGAATATTATTTTATTATTTTTTTTCATCTAACCTCTGAGATTCTACAACTCTTTGGAATGTTTCAAATTTCGTAAACACAGAAATTCGTAAACCTAAGCCTATGTTTTTATACTTTTAAGACAACATTTCTTCCCCTAAATGCCATCTAACTTTAGCAATTCAAAAAAGTATTTGTTTGTTTTTTCTTTGTATTAATAGTTTTAATTTTAAGAAATATTTATAATTTCACAAAATATTCTAAACATTAAGTTCTTAAATGTAAATTAAATTAGCATACATTTCAGACAAATATTTCAAAACTGAGAGAAATCCTTCTGAATAATCATTGTGGACTTTGGAAAAGTCTTTATAATTCAAGGCAAGGTTCCTTGAATTTCATTAAGTAAATGTTTAAAATTTAGAAATATTTATTAGAATTTTGTCAAAAACTCTGAGCAAAGTGTGTTTGGCGGATAAAGTTCTGAAACTTCCTGTGTTACAATTTGAAAAGTTTTAAATAATTCTCAAAGATTAAATTAAAATGCATTTTTTTTTATACTTGTTCCGGAATATATTCAAAAATATAGCCATAGTATTTTTGCCAAAAACATTAAGACATTCTATTCAAAGATGCATAACGCCATAGGATTTTGGAGTTCAAGCTCATTCAATCTTTAGCTTAGTAAGAGCTCTGCGCATCGTATTCCTTCAATTGCCTTTGGTTTTACTTACTTTTCGAAATATCCTGGAAATATTTTAAAGTTTGGCCATTTTCTACACTGCGCCGAAAATAGTCAAGTACATTTAGATATATATATTTAAGTTTAAAGTCATGCAGATCCTTAGGTTGGCCTTGGGCTAGTGCGCTTCCGCTCTCTGGCGCTCTCGTTACAAAAGGTAAATATAGACTTCCTTGAACAGTTTCGGTTGCTTTGCTTTGTTTAATTCCTAGGTACACACATTTAGTAAAGTTCACTACTAGTGCTGCAAGGGGAATGGGGTTGGGGGAATGGGGATAGAGTCCGAGTCCGAGTCCGGGACTTTGGCGGGGAAAGGACCTTTCCCTTTCTGCTGACAACCAAGGGGCCGGGGGCAAATGTTAAATATTAATCCGCTTTAACTACTTTGTAAACTTAGACCACGATGTAAATCTATAACTTAGGGTATAATTATATTAAGTGCGACTACAATTAATTAACTTAATTTCAACAATTCAATCTCAATTCACGCAACAATTCAATACAGTTTCGTCAGACGAAGGGGCTCAGCAGGATCCAACTGGATCCGTTTCGGTATCGGGATCCCTCTTGCACGCACTTAAATGCTATAATCAATAGATACATATATGCATATATAAATATATTTGCTTAAAGTTAGGCCTGTGTATATATAAATACGTCGTTTACATAAATATCATCCACATATATGCCAGTGTGTATAATTATTTCATGTCTGTATATCATCGTCGTCTCGCTCTCTCTCGCTGTGTCAGTGTCGTCTGTCTCTGTCTCTCTCTTAACCTGTCCCTCTATCTCATCATTTATTTATCTCTCTATCCCTCTATCCCTCTATCCATCCTTATCTGCCTTGTTTGTGAAATGTATCTAAAACTAGAGTATACTAGCTCGTTATTTCTTATGGCATTCGATCGATTAACGATTATTCATATCTGTATCTGAATGTGTGTTTAAGTAACGGGCTCCAGTGATCGCTGGTTCTTAATTTGCCTATCGATAGTAACGAATTTTCTGCCGATTATTGACGCTTACCGATTCTGTCGCCTGTATCTGTATTGGTGCACTGGATATCCTGATGCTAATGCGACTGTTATCGCAAGTCAACTCATATTATCGGTTATTTAATCAATCGATTATTTTATTTTTGTGTCATCGATTTTATCATCTCGAAATCCGAAATTGTTTTTAACTTTCATTGTATCATAATACCTATTTCAGGCTGTAGATATCTTTCACCCAAGTGCCTTTCGATTACGATAAAAGAAAAAGAAAAGAAAAGACCGATGTACAATTTAGTCAATACAACATCCACGAAGACTTCTTTTAGATATCCTTTTCTCTAGTGAAACTGTAGCTATCCATAAATTCCCCCTTGCAAATGTATCTTGAACCTGCGACACTTGTATTAAGCTTTCCTTTAACTGACTATCGATAGTTCAAGTGCTATTATCTCCCATTTCTTCTAGGGATATAAATGCTTTTCGATCGATTGACGATATTCTCATTCATGTATAAGTTATGACTAATTCATCTTGATTCTAAGACACTTGCATCTATCTATATCGTTGATGTCGTTGGCTCAAGAACTCATGTTGGCAGTCAAACTGCAGCATTATCTCTCGATTACACACCTGGGATTTCATCTCTGTGTTGGCAAGCAAATTTGAGTATCTGGATTCTGCGACACCTAGTATCTTAGCCTATCTTGGAGATATTTTCATCTTAAATGCCTAGCTGCCTGCGCTTATGGGCGCTGTAACTGTAATGGAGCGACACATAACACATACATAGCTATTTGGTTGATATATATTTCCCACGGTTGCCGATTAATCGCTAATCTCTTCTATCGATTAATAATTAATTAAGTAAATTTAGGCCTATTAACACTGCGACACCTATGTATACGAAGCCATCTTGAAGATCCTTTAGCCTTGAGTAGTGTGCTATTAATGTTATTACCTTCGATTATTCATGATATCGAATTGTGATATCGATTCTTCAATTTTTTTTTTTGATTAAGCTAAGTCTAGGCCTACAAAAAAAATTGTATCCATTTACGAATAGATATATGTTTAAGGAACACACATACATAGACACTTAAATTCGCAATGCGTGGCGCTAGTATTTGGTTATCAATATCGTCATATATCGTTATCGTTCTCGGTATCGTTATCATATATCGTATTTAATGCTGTTGAACACATGAATGCAGCTGCTCTCGCACGAGAGACAAAAGGACTCCCACCTCGACTGTTGGGGATTGAAGGATGATGGGGTTTACAGAGTTCAGAGCTCAGTTTCGGAGATTGGATCTCGGGTTGCGGATGGGTTGTGGTGGTGGTGGTGGTGGTGCTGGTGGTGGATGTGCTCAAGCGATGGCTAAATGCTGCTCGATCGTCCCAGGCCCGAGGTGGTGGTGATGTGATGCTTGTGCCGTACCCTCTCCCTGGTGTCCACCTTAGCGAAGCACGCCATTGGCAGGCCGGGTGTGGTCCTCGGGGTCTGCGGGGGTGAAAGTCACGGCCGGAATCGCCGGAATCGGTTGTGGATTAGAAACAGGGCCAGTTCCATGGCCAACGGCAACGGCAACGGCTACAGTTCCAGCGGTTGCCGGCGGACTGGCACTCACCTCGTGCTCGGCCTGATGGCAGAACTTGCCCTTCAGCCAGGGCCACTTGATGGTGCGGACGAGAGTGTTCCGAAAGTCCTCGCTGAACAAGCAGTAGATGTAGAAGGTCAGCGAGTAGTTGATCAGCTCCAACAGATTGGCGCTGGCCCGGAACACCTGGAAGGGGAAGCTGGGATACACCTCCGAGGCGATCGTCATGTGGAGAATGGCCATGGGCGAGACGCACACAAGGAACAGGATAGAAGTGCTGCCGAGCAGCAGGAACAGTCGTCGCTCCTCGGCAAACTTCCTCGGATCATCATCCTTCACATAGCCATTGGTATGGGCATGTCCCTGGGCATGACCCTGCCCATGACTATGACCATGACCATGACCATGATTCCGGCTGAGCACCATCTGGCGACGACGCTCACAGGTGCGCCGATAGACCATCATAATGCGCATATTGAGGCCACCGATTAGCACGGTGGGCACCAGCTTAAAGATCACCTCCAGCATGATCTTGTAGATGCGATAGAAGATGGTCTGCTGATAGATGGTATTATCGCGTCTCAAGTAAACGTAGACATCGCTGGAACCCAGAATGCACTTAATCAGTTCGCCACGAAAGATGCTCGGCAGGTAGACAATCACCGTGGCCAGGCAGGTGAGAAAGACCACAACTCTGTGAATGAGGATAAATCGGGTGACATCAAGGGGTAAGTAAGTTACGAGCTTCACTTACCCTGGAGGTCCCATCACGGGTCTCGCGAACCCCGGATGACACACGGACACATAGCGTTCGATGGTTAGCACCAGTAACATCATTACTCCCACACCTAATCAGGGGAAATACAGGATACTTTAACTCTTACCAATACCATCTATAACCAACTCCAACTTGAGCTTAAAGCTGCAACACTCGGTTGGAGTAGTTACTACAAGCTTTACCCAGTTGTGCTCCCAACACAGCCGTGAGACTTACCCAAACAGCCATTGCCCAGATAAAGCTCCAAGTGGGCGGTGTAGAAGGCGGGGCCGAACTCCTCCCATTGTCCTCGATCCTTGTGCACCAGCATGCGGATGCCAAAGGGGATGGCGAATACAATGGCCAGCAGGGCGGCTGTGGAGTAGGCTAAGAGAGAGAGAAGGGAGTAAGGTCACATGGAACAACAATGGGATTAACTCGGTTGAATCTATAAAAATGTCCTTTATGGGTGACTTTATGGCATAATTATGGCGCCGCTTCCGCTTCCATGTGGCAACAGGAAGTGTCCTCGCACACACACACATATACACACGCAAGCAGCCACTAGAGAGTTGCGGGCCAAATGAATGGCTTTTCTTTCCGGTTCCCCTTTTCTTGGCTTCCGTCGCCGCTCTCTTCCTCTCTCTCTTTTTTGATAACTTTGCGGCATGTGTGTGTGTGTGCGTTGTTTATTGATTTATTATTTTGTTTATGAGCATATAATTACATTATTACTAATATCAGCAATGTGCGTCCCGTTCCCCGCCAAATTGCTGTGCACACAGCGCTTAATGTTCGTTATAGGACTTCCCCGGGATGGCGAAGAGCATCCTCTCATAATGATGGGCATCTAATTGGACACGGGACCTACACACTCACACACACATCAATATAAATGTCAGTTTTGTTTGTGCACCAAGCCTGACAAGTGTCCTGCCATCCGCCACCGAATGTCCTTTTTTGGGGAGGCCATTTCAGTACAAATCGGTTGTCAGCAAGGGAATTTCTTTTTGCGGTCTCAACGGATGCCTTGGCCAGTGATTGAGTGCCTTGGAACGGGATCCTATATAAATTTATTTAAACTGAATAGAGATCAAGGATCACGGTAGATTGCGCCACTGGCTCATTGCCACATTGGCTTTCTTTCCCCAGTTGGCAATAAAAGCATTTTGGGAAATGCATAACTTTGCTCGAAACACACTTACACATGGCCCCAAAAAAAGAAAAAAAAGGAAAAAGAAAAAAGGACACCGGACTGGGGGAAGGACACCACTTGGTGGCAATGACCGCCAAATAACAAATGGGCGGCATCGTAAAAAGGCTGCGAGCAGCAAAAATATTTTTGTTATTTTAATAAAATGAGAGGCACTGGGCGTTGCTCTGATTTCGGTCATTATTACTCATGCCCCCTTTGGAGGAGGCTCTTCACAACTTTTATTTACTGCCACTTGAGCAAAGCTACAACTGGCACTGGCACTGGGACGGGTGATATTTCAGTCAGTCAGTCAGGCAAAGGGTCTCCTTGCTTTGCATTTTCCTGGTTTCCCTTTTTCCTCGACCATTTTGGCTTGCCTTTCGCTACCGAAAAAGGGCAATCAATTATGCTAGCATAGCATGCGTATTACATTTGAAGCATTTCACATTTTATTTTCACATTTTTTCCTCTCTTGTCTCCTGGTGTATATACCCTTTTATGGGGCACTTAAATTCCAGTCAGATCAGCCGCAGCAGTAGGTCATAAACTTGCCAAGTTGTTGGCTCTAAATAGGTTTCTCTGATCTTCAAATGATAGCCTTATCGATGGCTAAGTTGAGAGATAAATTCTTTAAAATTTCAACAAGGTATGGGGAGAAATTTGAAATTAAATACCTTTATTTCATATCATCTTGATGGAAAACCACAACTTTTAATCAATGAAATAAGATGCATAACGCCAGTTGCTTGAGCTTTATAAAACTGCCAGAAAGTGTGTTATTTTTTTAGTACTTATTTTCGTTAATTTCACAATATTTTGGTTAGTTTCTTATATTTGTATATCACATTTCAAATGAAGGCGTTTTGCATCTCATTTGTTTAAATTCTAAGTTGCTTCAGAACCCTCATAAAATGTATCTAAAAGTATTTCATGACAATAATAAGGTAAGAGGTCTCCTAGAAATTAGTTTTTATTTACCATATAAATTGTCATGGAATTATTTTCCTTAAAGGGTACTCCCAGCTTCGATTCAGTGTCTCTCCCCTGTTATCCTGACAAGTAAAGTGAGTCGCCTGCTGCTGCCTTTTCCGTGTTGCGTCTCTCCTTTTTTTTTGGGGGGAGGGAGCTTTCCCCCCATGAGCAATAGTCAAGGCTAAAAAATTACCAGCAAGTGGCGGCGTTGACAAAGTTGCCCAGCTTTTCCCCAGAATGGGCAGGAAGTGGAGCTCATTAATCAATTAAAGCGCCATAAAGAAAACGGGTGTCTCTAATAGAGTTGACATGCTGTCTAATACAGCAGAAAGTCGTAGTTGGAGGAAGGTGGGCTTAAGCGGCGGCTCTGCATAAATTTGCACGGGGTTAAGCAGTCTTGCCTAATGAAATAACTTTCAATGAAGCTGCACAACACACAGAACACACACACACCGCACAACACACACCACAGATAAGACGTCAGAGGGCGCATACATTAGCAGCATTGTGGCAGCTTCAATTTCGCAAGAAATCGTCGAGGTTAATGAATAAATTCTGGCGCACAATGGCTTTGGCCTGGCAACGGGGGAATACATATGTTCTAAAGCGAAACTCAATTTGGCAATCAGTCAAGAGTCAAGCCCAATTCCCAGGCTCAGCCTATATATCTATATATATATATATAAATTTCGTCCTGCTCGGAATGTCCTGGCATGAAGCTGAGGAAATTCAATGTTTTGCGTGGGCGAAGACGTACGAGTGTCTCTGGCCAAATCCAATATAGGTTATCGCAAATCATACTAGCTATTTGGTATTTCTTTACAAAAAATAAGAGAAAAGTCAACAATAAAATGAAGAGGGTCCATAAACTCATTAGGCCTGCTTTGAGCTCTCTCTAAATGAATTGACAAGGCTTTGCTGCACAAATTTAATTGTTCGTACTAAAAATGGATACTTGTGGCTTTGTTTTCTTGAATTCGAGTTGAAATTGACACCTTAATTAATAAGAAAATAATCAGGATCTTTGAATAATAGCTTACTGATTAATATATTTTGAAATGCGGTTACTTGTGTATAATTTTAATTGGGTAAATATTCCGAAAAAGTTAAGTATAGTTTGGTGGCATAGCTATTGTTATTTGTTGTTTGCTTTACAAATTATCATAAATTCTAAATCAAGTTTACAATCGGACAAGCCTAAGAAAAGTGTAAAACAAAATAGTTAAAACGAGCTTTAATTTCAATGAATTGCCTGTACTCATAATGGAAGCTTGTGACTTTGAATTGCTGAATTCAGTTTGAATTTGACATCTTGATTAATTAGAAAATTATAAGGATCTTTGAATACAAGCTAGCTGATTATTATATTTGAAATGCGGTTACTTGTAATGTGTAATTTTAATTAGTAAAATTTTTCTGGTTCGCAGGCTATTCATTAGGTTCAAACAGTTGCCTTAAAACCGGAAAAGATAAGTATAGCTTGTTAACAAAGAGTTAATTAAAGCTATTGTTATTTGTTGTATGCCTTAAACAATTATTAAATTGTTAACTCAAGTGAATTGATTAAAAAGTATAAAACTAAATAGTTAAAGCGAGCTTTAATTTGTTTTGCCACCCTTGGATTTCTTCCCTGACGATGACAGGCCAAAAATATTTGACTGCCTTAGACTAGAGTCCTTTTGTAGCGTCCTAAAGAGCACGGGGATGGGGCGAAGGACATCAACAAAGATGAGTATGGGGACAAGGACACTTACCCCTCATGTAGATGTAGGCGGTGCCACGCATATTGCGCCTGGTGAGCACAATCAGGTTGAGCACGTTGCCGATGATGCCCATGGCGCAGATGATGGGCAGCAGGAGCCCATAGCAGTACTCCCTCAGCGACTCCGTTCGCGGATCCTCCACATCCTGCCAGGAGATGGAAAGAGATAGAGATTGAGAGTATGAGTATGAGTGTGCTTGTGTGTGAAAGGGGAACAGCTCGTAAATCATCTCCGGCTGGCCTCCTCCTTGGCTCAGATAAAAATTCAATAGTCGACTTGACACTTTTATTTTGTGACTTTTATGCACACACTCATACACACACACACATACGCCGCAGCGCCTTATTTTTCCATTTTCCTATTTTCCTATTTTCTATTTTCGCCTTGAGCCAAAGTTGCAAACAAAAGCAGCTTTTGGCTGTCTGTCAGCCAACTTTTAGCTCGGCTCAGGGCTAAATTGCATTTGGGGATAGTTGAGGTATGTTTGGGGGTTTCTAGAAAGGTGATTAGCTTTATATTTACACCCATAAAACTGATAATTAATATTTTTATTTTATTTATATCACTGGGGGTTTGGAAACCTCTTGGAAATATGTTCAAACTAGTCTAAAAAATGTTGTATAACTGAATTTTTGCACCTCAAACTTTTTTTTGCCGGTTTTAAGATGAGTTTTTAGAAGGATTTCAAAATTGTGTTATAAATGAAAAGAATCTAATAATCATGTTGTTATAAATACTATAATTATTGAGTATAATAATAGAAGTATATGTATATTAATTTTTGGGTTCCAAACTTGAAGTAACTTTTCAAATTGAATATGTTTGCTTGATACTTTTAGCCGCACAAAATGTGAGAAATGCTCCCCGCTGACATTAAAAACTTCTACTCAACTTTATTTTATATATATATATATATATATAGAAAAATGAAACAATTGTTTTTCTTTGCAGCTTAAACTTGGACAACTGAAATACGTGCTTATTTAAGAGGTGGCAGGATTCGTTGGCGACTTTAAAGAGTTAAGTGAACCCAGCAGACCCCCGGTATCTAAGATACGGTCACGGAGCCTTCACAACGCAGCTTGTTTCCTTCACTGAACGTGCTGTGCCATGAAATGAGCAATTCCTTGCTCCCTGTTTCATATATATATATATATATATAAATATAAGAATATATAATATATATGTGCATTGTATGTATGCTCCCCCATGTCGACCTGCTGTTTAACTGAAAACATTTGAGAATAACATTTCCCGCGGTGCCCGAAAGTAGGCAACAGTTTTCACGCGCAGCAGGTCGCCTGCTACGAAGGCTACGCGCTTGCCAAGGAGCAGGCAGGAGCAAGGAGCCTGGAGCCTGGAGCAGCTCGGACCTGGTCCATATCAATGAGGGATGGAGAATAGAGGATGCAGGATGATGGGGCGAAGGATGCACTCACCCGATAGAAATCGTCGCGCAGGTCGGTAAAGACGGGCGAGGAGTTGCCTGCCGCGGCCAGGACATCGGTGGTGCTGCTGAGATTGGAGCCCCAGATGAAGGAGCAGTAGGCGGGATCCTCTTCGGTATTGTAGAGCCTCGTTATCATAGTAGTTGCTTCTGTTATGCCGCCGCTGTGAATCGAGTTTAATTTGTGTAAGTAAGTTAGCAAAAGCGAATGGTGAGTAAAAATAGCCAGGCACACGCTTTTGTTAGCAAATTCGTGAGCAGGATTCAATACACAGAGAAATGATATAGAAAAATGAATATATAGAATTGATTTTAATAAATTAAATATTTTAAAATAATACATACAACAACTACAGATGTCTGGAAATATATGCTAGGAAGTTGCATAAACCAGTAGGGTTTTTTAAACACTTTTAGATGTGTCTAAAAGTATTTAGTAAAATTGTAAGAGGTCATTCTTTTCTTAATTAATTAAATGAAGAATTTAAACAGTGCGGTATAATTTTGGATACCATTTTTAGGGGTTTTTAAAATAATAGTGATTTTACACTATGCTGGGCTTACCCCTTAAAAAGGAATCTCAAAGTTTCCAGTACAATTTTTCATAGAATAGTTATGGAAACCTTTCTAAGGAACCTACCGCTATATTCCCTATAAATCAATGGAAAAATAAGCCTCATTTTTTATATTTCAATGAGTTCCTACTCATTTTCAGACTTATTTCTTAGAGTGCACTCAGTCTGAAGGCTCGAATGAATGGCCCGGAATGCCGGGACTCTGCCTTCGATTGCCATGTAATTTAAATAGAGAAAGAGAATGAACGAACGGATCGGGCAACTGTGACGCGTCTAGCGGAAACGGAAGCGTTCACTTGTACACTTGTGCGATAAAAACAAAGCACAGGGAAGCACAGGGGAAGGCAACGGGCGCACACACAAACCAAACGGCAAAAGTTGGGAGCTGGCGTAACAATTGGGACTTTGATTGCCGACGCGCAGTACAAACAAATCAACGCAAAAAATTGAAAAGCAACTGCCAGAGAGACGTAAAAGTAAAATGCTGGAAATAATTGCGGGCCGTAAATAAGTTTGGCGGAGGATAACAGAGAGTCCGGCGGCTTTTTTTTTTGTTTGTTTGTTGTACCTGGTTTCCTGTTCCTGTGTCCTAGCGACTCCGCTCAGCTTGTTTAGTACTCGGGCCAGCGTACCTCTGTATTTGGTTCATAGAATCTTTGCAGCTGACAGGCCCTGGCCGAGTTTGTTGCAATTCTGGCAATCCTTTCACGCGGCATCTTGGCACCTGTGCGGGGAAATAAAGTGTAGTAAAGAAATTTTAATATATATTATAGGGAAAAGAGAGTGAGAAAGCCTGGTGAGTAATAAGAAATACATTAAATGAAGCTTGACCGTATCGAAATTCGTCATATGTGTTTTATTATGCCACACTGTCACAACACACACTTCACTCTAGAGTGTGTGTGTGCCGCAACAGGTGTGTTTTATTTGCTCGCGTCACGCGGCGCCCGCCACTCCCCATTTTCTTGTTCGCCATTCTCCATTTTCCGCGGAAAATGGCCAGCAGCAGCAGCAGCAGCTAAGCGCTAAAATCAACGTTGACAGGCAGCAGAAATTCGTATAAAATATTTGATAAATTGCCCCCGAGCGAGGCGAGGCGAGGAGCCAAGTTGGAAAAGCACTAGAGGGGGGCGGGCTGAGCTTTACGGGCCAACAGTGTGCTTCCCCGTTAATGGCTTTGTGTGTCTGTCAAAATAGAAGAAAGAGAGCGAGAGCGAGAGCGAGGAGAGTGAGAGAAAGCAAAACAAGCAAGTGCACCCGTAAGTATGCAGCACTTTTTCCTCCGTTTGCCGCCATTTGCATATCACGCATACGCACTGTGGGCCGCTCAAGACACTCAAGAACACCTTGTTTAGAGCTTTGTGCGGTGACACAAACATGACACGAACTTAATTTCCCCAAGGCACAACATAAAAGCCATCCAAAGCAAACAGGAGTGAGTCCTGCCCCGGAGTGCTTACTGTACTGTACACCTGCACAGAGTGCGGGAATCCGGGAGGAGTTCTGTCCCTATCCCCAAGTCCGAGTCCGAGTCGGATTCTGGCATAATTTATGCCTGCGATTATCATAATAATTCGCCAGAACAGTCCAACACTTGTACACACATATACAACATGGTTGGTTTACGGGGTGTTAAGGGGTGTGCTGGTGTGTGTGCTGGTGTGTGGGTGTGCGGGTGTCGACTGTCAACTGTCGCTTGTTAGTTTTTGGTTTTTCGAGCTCTTCTACGCCGCTGTTTGCCGAGCACTTACAGTTATTGCGGTTTAGTTTGCCAGGCGAATAAATAGAAGAGCCGGTTCGAGGTCCTTCCCCTAGATTTGGGTCCTGCGCCCACCTCCCCTTGCATACGGATTTGTTTTACATTTTCGTTTCGTTTTCTAGGTTCTTTTTTGTACATATATGTATATAGTTTCTGCATGGCTTTTTCATTTTATTCGGTTAACAAACAGCAGTTTGTCATTTAAACAAACATTGGAAGCCGGGGGAGGCTTCGGGCTTGATATGAGAGTGACTTTGCCTGTTTATCTTCCGTCGGAAATGTAAGGGGGTAACATAAAAAAGAGAAGAGAGTGGAGGAGGAAAATAAAGCATGGCCAGAAAGGAAAAGGCAAAACCGAAGCGTGGCTTAATGGACCTGCTGCTGGGGTTTTCCCTCACGATACTTTTTCCACACACCAGCGATCCATCTATCTCTATCCCTGTCTCCTGCCGCATGTGTGTTGGCATGATTAATGCCTTTGTTTACATTTCCCGCTTCACGTTTGGTTATTTTCTGCTTCTTTTGGAACCCTCACCTCCCCCCTTTGCGGAATGATATGTTTAACAAAAAAGTTTAACGCAAATTAAGTCAAACTGGCAGCGCTTAACGATGTGCGACATAGATGAATATCCTTACCGACCATATGTCTATGGGTGTGTATATAAGGAACAGTTTTCTATTCAGCCTGGACTTTAATTTACACACAAAATGACAACACCCACTCTCTCTCTCTCTCTCTCTCTCTCTGTGTGACAGCCAGCAAATTAAGTTTGGCTACCAACAAAAAAGTATATAGAAAATAACACACAACAAAAAGAAGGCAAACTGAAAAAAGGAAATCAACTCAAGTTTAAGTGGATTTTTTAGAATCCTGGCTGGGACAGGACATTGCTCTAGCTCATAGGACATATGCTCATTGAAATTCATTATTAATTTGAAATCAGACTGGCAGACTTGCAGACTCTTGGACTCTTCCTAGTCTTGCTCTCGCACATTGATTACTTTGGCCTGACCTCGGGCCCATTGTGAAAAGCATCTCAATCTGGTTGCTGGGCGGGTGATTAGGATCCTCCGCATCCTGCTCCAGCTCCTGCTCCTCCACTCGACACGATAAACTTGTTTCCATCTGCCATTCAACGCCTGACAGCCTCCCATGTGTGTCCTTTCTGGCCATTAAGTTTTTAATTTCCCTGGCAGGGCATGGCGGGCGCTGCTGTTTTTCCGCCTCTGTTTGCTGTCCACCTTTTGGTGACATTTTTTTTCGGCTATTGTTTGCTTTTAATTACGCAATCGTTTTATTTAATTTTTTTTTGTTTTCTGGTCTTTTCGCTACGCCCTCCAATTAAGCTTTTAATTAAAACCCCAAGGCGATGATGCTACTTCTGCTGCTTTAGCTACTTTGCTTTCCTATTTTCCCCGATGGCTCGCTAAACGACTTTTTAATCGAAAACTTATCAGGACGAGTTGTGCGAGTGGCGCCTGCGCTGCCCGATTAAATTTCAATTTAAATTTACATTTGTATGCACAGCAGGAGCATATCCTGGCGTGGCAACTTTTGGCCATAAATTGGCATGACCAGTTGATGTTGTCGCCCTGGCAGTTATCGAAATTGCTTAACGGCCATCGCCCGAGCTCCATCTCCATCTCCAGCCTCATCCTCATCCCCATCTACATCTCCATCTCCATCCTCATCCTCATCCTCATCTCCATCCCACCCACAGCGAGATAAACATGCAAAGTGTGTGGCCTTAATGTCCTTTCCCCGCTGCCGTCGGCCAGGTCAATAAAATGCTTGTGTCCACAGGGAGAAACCAGAACCATTGAGTTCTCATTCTAAGAACCAGAGATTTTTTATATTAGATTTTAATTTATGTGCTTCATTTATTTATGAATAGATAAATAAATAAAAATACTGTAGAATATAGATAATAGAAAGAATGTTTTGCTAGTTTATATTCTAACAAACTCTCATGTGTATTTTGTTGTCTAACCAAATTCAAGGCTTTAGCTTAGTTCATGATTTATGTGAACCTCAATGGGTTTGGCCCAATTTTAAATTTAATTTATTTTGTGTACAACTTATGAGAATGTTGTCATCAAATTTGATAGTTGTAGGTGTTATACTTTCTTAGAAAGAGATATTAAAAGTAGAAATGAGTACTGAACAATCTCGCAAGAATATAATTTATATGTAGATCCTTTTTTATAAGTTTTACAATTCATTATCCTTCGTTTTAGTACAACATAACCCATTATGAGAATTTTGTCATCAAATTTGATAGTTGTAGGTGTTATACTTTCTTAGAAAGAGACATTAAAAGTAGAAATGAGTACTGAACAATCTCGCAAGAATATAATTTATATGTAGATCCTTTTTTATAAGTTTTACAATTCATTATCCTTCGTTTTAGTACAACATTACCCATTCTCAGTGGACATTAAGGAATTTTTAAATGATATTCAATCTTTTAATCGAACTTGGATGCATTTTATACCAATCTTTGTTCAAATCATAACCCATAACTTAAGTTATATCCTTTTGTTTCTGTTCCCTCTCAGTTTATTTATAGTTTTTAAAGAACTAAGTCCTTTTTTGGCCGTGTCTTTATGTCCTGATCCCCAGGGGAAGGACTGTTAAATGCTGCCAGCTGATGCCGCTGATGGCCGTTTAACATTTGACCCACCATTTTCAGCCGGAGTTTTGTCAGTTTCAACTGGCTCTAAATAATGCTGCCGTGTTGCCACTCAACAAACGTGACTTTTGCCCCAATATGGGGCGGGGGATAGTATGAGGATACTGAGGAGGGACATGACCCTAAGGATTCCCTCCCCCCCCCCCCGCCATTGTTGTGTGAATCGGAATCTGGATGTGAATCTGTGAGCTGCTCGGGTGTCACGATGCCTTTAGCACAAGGCATAACTTGTAATAACGCGCTGACCCAGACACAGCAAACACACACACACACACAAACACACAGAGCTTTGTGGAAATGGGAAAAAGTCGGGGGTTTCCCGCTTTGGGGCGTTTGGGAAAATGCACTCAAAATGAAAATGAAATGTCAACTTACCCGCAGAGGCGTGCGAAGGGCAGCGATGACGCTTTCGTTGCGTTTTGTGGCAGCAACACGTTGTTGTTGCAAGCAGATTGCTGCTGCTGTTGTTGCTGCTGTTGTTGCTGTTGCTGCTGTTGCTGTTGCTGTTGCTGCTATTGTGACTGTGGCAGTGTCAGTGGCAGTGCTCTTTTGCGCTTTTTCGAAAACTTATACTGATACCGTGAATATAATTCAGCTGCTTGTTGAACCTTGCCCTCGGCGTTGCAGCCCGCTGCGCTGGCAATGTCTGTCCTCTGTGTTTTTCGGCAGTCACTGTGTGTTGCAACTTTAATTGGCAGTGTCTCGATGTGTTTTCCCCGCTCCAGCTCCTGCTCCTGCTCCTGCTCCTGCTCCTGCTCCTCCCCGGGGCAGCTGCTGTGGATAAAACGAAACATAAATCTGCACTTAATTGCGTTCTGGTAAATGCAGTGCGGGCGTGGCAGCTAGAGGGGATGTCAAGGGGGAAGGACTACGCGCACACACACACACACACACCGCACACTCGGAACACTCACACTTTTGCCTACTTTTGTGCGCCAAAAAAAAAGTTTCGCTTTCTCGCTTTTTAATCCTGCTCCTGGCAAGGCGGCGGCCTCTTCACGCACTGTTCCACAAACTCTGCCCTGCTTTTTTTGGGGGCTTCCACAAAAGTTCGCTATCGCAGGCTGCACTTGAAACTTGAAGCACTTCTTTGTATCTTTTTTTAAACTATTTTTTTTCTTATTTAATTATTTCGTATTTTGTATTTTCTGTTTGGGTTTTTTCCTTTAAAAAAATGCTAAAAAAAAATGCACAAAAAAATGTTAAGAGGCTGGGCAGTGATCGAAACTGTTGCTGCTGTTCAAAACTGCTGCTGCTGTCTAAGTTGCTCCAGTTGGTGTTGCTGCTGCTGCTGCTTTTGCTGCTGGTGCTGCTGCGACACGTCCATGCCTTCGGATGCCCACGAGCAACTGACTAGCAACTGTGTGAAGCAGCCCTATTTATGGCCTCGCTCGGCCCACGTTCAACCAAGCTTTCAATCGGGCTTTCAATCGTGCTTTCAACTGAAACTGGGAAAAACCAGTGAGGCTTTCCACTTGGGGGGAAATTAGAAGCAAAACATTTATTTCCCTGCCACACACACACACACTCAGAGTGCAAGAGGGTTGATCAAGAGGATGGCTATCTAGTGCTGCAATTACTGCATCTGCTGTTGTATTCCATATTTCCTCTCAGATGATGTAACAATGGGGCAGAGGTTCTGGACCGGACTCTCTCACTCTATATCCTTGCCTGCCAGTATATCCTGCGGGCAGGGGACAAACAATCTGGCCCAGGTTGGGTCTCAGCCAGCAGCGCATGAAATCAAAACAAATATAAATACCACACCGTGGAGAACTGGCGATGCCAGAAGCAGCTGCACAAAGGAGGAGGCATCCCTCCTTGGACACCCAGGGAAAAGTTGGCAGCTGAAGGCACCGCAGACCCGGCTGGTAAGCTCCCTGCTGCTGCTTATCTTCTTTCGGTTTCCTAAGCCTTCGCCGGATTACGGATTGCGTATTGACAATCACGGCAAATGGCAGCCAGGGAGCGTCGTGTGAAACCCAGACAGTCACAGCCACTGCCTGCAAATATCGGCTGTCTTAACCCGTGCCTGCTGGCCGGGCATTGAATGGCAGTCAGGCAGTAAGGAGGAGGAGAGCTGCCTGCACTTGCTAGTTAGCACAGCTTGCCTGCCAGGATCTAAGGACTTCCCCCCTTTTCGGCCCATTTGGCAGGCCCACGTTGACGATGAGGACGACGTCGACGCCAGCGTCGAACTCACTTGAGAACTATTTCAATAAGCGTTATGCACGCATTGTCCTTCACCCTCTTTTACCCCACTGTCACTATATGTGTGTGTGCATATAGTATATATATCTATGAGTGTGTGTGCGCCACCCCGCTGCAGTTCCTTCTTCCGTTTCCCATCCGACAAAAGAAGAGCAAAAATTCAGCCAGAGATGTTGCTCACTTAACTCAAGAGTACTTTGAATCCAGCATCAGGTTAGTGTTTGAATTGAATTTTGGAGAAAATTGGCTATCCCTAATCAACCGGCTCGAAGGACCAAATAAGGAGTAGTGATCCTTAATTCCCAAAAATGAATAAATGCAAATTAGGTGGGAAATTCTTTGAGAAATTCTTATTTAATTAGTATATTCTAGCGACTTTGCCTAATCTTTAGGTAAGAAATTTTTACTACAAGGACTCTATACGAGTCCTAGTTCAGGGCATCTGCCTTTCAGTGTCCTTCGGCTTTTGACTTTTACCGCTCATCCTCTATTTCCATGCTGCCATCCGTTGTAGTTGCTGTTTTCTGCGTTGCCTACAAGCAATTTGCGGCGTTTTACATTTTGCATTTTGCGATTCTCATTTTGATTTTGATTTCGGTTGCAGTCGACGCTGGCGTCGCTGCTTCCTGTCCTGTGTGTGTGTGTGTGTGTGTGTCCTTTTGTTGATTGTCATCTTCGTCACTCACTCTCCTTGCTCGAGTGTGTCCTGTGTGTGTCTGTCTGCGTGTTTTTCCTTGACTGGGGCACCTTGCGCCAATTATTGTCGCCTTGCGACGACGCGACTTTTCAGCTTTTCCACATTCCACATTCCTAGATCCCTTCAAAATGCCTCCGCGGTGTCCAGGTCCACGTTCGCGTCCAGGCGGATCAAACAGGCGCTTTTCTTTCCTCCGCCCCTCCCCCCCAGACAGCCGCCGCTACCCAGTTTTCCACGCAGCTTTTCCGCTTTTCCCCGCGCCGAGTCAGCCATTTTTTTGGTAAGTAGGTCAGTGGCAATGCTCGTGAGACGAGAGTCGCCACAAAAGTTGTGTGTGAGGAAAATATTCAAAAGCCAAAAAGACAATAATTCACAGGGAGAATTAAATTGGATTTAAGATTAATTTAATTTAATAAATTTTTTACTTAAAGTTTATATAACATGTACAAACGTTTCGAAAAATTGCATAAAAAAATCAAATTGAGAGATGTCATCCTTTAATTTTAATTCATTCTGTTTGAGAACAAAAATGTAAGTTAGTTTGGTTTGAAAATTAATTTAAAGTTTTATTTGCGTTTCGAATAAATTAAGAGATTTTCAAAAATGTTACAAAACAAAAAATATACCAAAGAGTGAACTAACAATTCCCAAGTCTAAAAATTTAAACATACTGTACAATCAACCTTCTGCATTTGTCTGCTTAAAAAAAATAATAATTATATTTTGAATATTGTTGAACCTAGTGATTAATGTATATTAAAATATATATAAATGATTGTAAAACTAAAACATATAAAAAATACAAATAAAAGGGATTGTTATGAAAGAAAGATAGAGTTCAAAGCAATATATTTTTTATTAATTAATTAAAGGTGATCCTTGTTTCCCTTTCTATTAGAGCGCCAAACACTGAGGAAAAATAGCAGCAACTTTGCGGTTTATAATATGTATGTATGTATGTAGATATGTTTGCTAAAACAAGTTTATTTTTTACAAAATTTTGATAATTAAAAGTTTCCAAAACACATACAATTTTATCCTATAAAGACATACCCAAACTGAGTCTGATTTTGATCCTTGTTTGGTCTGCTTTAAATAGTTAATTTCAAAGGACTTTAATTATGTAAAATTTGTAGAACCTTTGTTGCACTTGTGTTCGATTTCTTTATACTCTTTCATCCCTTATTTATATATTTTTTCAGGTTTTACTTTTATGTTATGCTCTCTATGGCTGTGCACTCTAAAAACTAGTTACAGAATCCTTGGGACTCCCCTTAATTGGATGCTCCTGTCGCAAAGCAAGAGACATGTAATAAGGGGGACGACAAAAAAAAACAGACAAAAACAGATAAAGACAAAAAAAAAAGAAAAAAAAAACAGAAAGGAAAGGAAAAAAGAAAAGGCAGAAAAGAAGTGAGCAAAGATTGGTGAAATTGCTCTGAAAGAGTTTTTCAAAAGAATTCGCTGTGCGATGTTCGCTCTGCCTTCGTGACGGTTCTTCCCCTGAAATCTGTCCCTGCACAAGGTTGTTATTGCTCTTGTTAGTTATTGTTGTTGTCCTGTCCTTTGCTGCTTATTGTCGCCGTACCACCCCCCAAAAACAACACCCCCTCTTTGGAACAACCCCAAAAGAACACCCTGCCCCCGGTTGCCGCTTGAGTTACGCTCAGTCACCCGTTTTTTTTTGCTACGTTCAACGCTCGGCTCAGACTTTCAGACTTTGGCCACAAAAATGCCTTAACGCAGCATGTTCCACATTTGGCATTCAACATTCAGCATTTGCTGCCTGGCTCCTGGCTCCTGGCTGCTGGCATCCTGCGAGTGGGCCATAGATTAGCCCCCAGTCTAGGTCGAAGCCTTAGCCTCAGTCTCGGTCTGTGTCTCTCTGTCTCAGGCGCCAGTTTTTCCATTTTCCTACAGCATCCAAGATACCCTAAGTGCTTGAGTTAAGATTTTATTAACGAAGATGCTTAATCAATTTATTTTTAGTATCCTAAAGTAGGTGTGAGTAAAATTATAAGATGCATAATGCAATGGGTTTTTTAACACTCAATGTTTTAGGGCTATATGTCAATCTGTTCCTAACGTTACAAATTAAAAACTTATAAATTAGTGAGCTTATCACAACGTGGTGGAATCTATAACTTTTCATATCTTAGAACTACACAAGCTTCAAAAGTTTCAGAATAAATAACTCCTAAATATTTCAGGAGCTAAATAGTACTTTCGCAACGAGGACATTGCCAGAAATCTTCATGATCTTAACAAGCTGAGGAACCACCTCAATGTTCCATCTAGAGGATAAGGTAATCCATAGTATAAAGCAGTCTTTCTAAAATTCACCCACTGGATATTACTTGGAGAATAATTTCACACCAAAATTAAAATGAACATAAACACTCTCTAAGACCTAAGCACTTTTATTAATAGTCCACTGAACTCTGCCCTATACTATTTTAAAAGTTTGTCAACTCTATAGTAACAAAAGACAGATTTACTACCCAACAATAAAATAAATTAAACTCTTGCAGGTATTGTAATTTTAGTAAGAAGTTTGTAAAGCAATAATCGAATGACCAAATCAGTCTACCTTTGGCCGATAAAAAAATATATGTACTATTTTATTTTATTTATAAGGGGTTACATCATTAAAATTGTCAAAAATTCATTAAAAACATCAATCTTTATAACCTGTAACATGTGTTGGTAAATATAACGAAAGCTTTTCCATATATATTTTTATATTTTAAATGTATTTTAATTATAAGATATAGTTACTTTATACTATTGTAAATTCGCTAAAAATCTA